TTATTCATTAGATACTAGTACTTAATCTTTAGATACTAGTACTTATTCATTAGATACTAGTGCTTATTTTTTAGGTACTAGTACTTATTCATTAGATACTAGTACTTATTTATTAGGTACTAGTACTTATTCATTAGATACTAGTACTCATTCATTAGATACTAGTACCTAATCATTAGACACTAGTACTTATTCATTAGATACTAGTACTTATTATTAGATACTTGTACTTATCCATTAGATACTAGTACTTATTTTTAGATACTAGTACTCATTCATTAGGTACTAGTCCTTATTTATTAGAAACTAGTACTCATTCATTAGATACTAGTACCTATTAAATAGATACCAGTACTTATTCAATAGATACTAGCACACATTTATTAGATACTAGCACTTATTCGAAATACCAACAAACAAACCCATTAGGCTACTTTGTTTACGAAATTACAGTGTTTACAAAACTGACAAAAATGCGTTTTCTCTGTGCTTGTGTACAAATAATTGTTTCTTTTCTATGTGGTTTCCTCAAAAAAGTACATCCATCTCCTTGTTTCCGTTTCCTGTCTAATCTCTCTCCTATATATTGCTGGCTCATTAATATTCAACATACAATTACCATACTGGGCATAAACGCAAATTTAAAAAGTACTAGTATCTTTTAAGTTCTGGATATCGCTGGTCTAAAATGTTACTAGTAACTAAAAAATAAGAACTAGTTCTATTTTTTTCTTAACAAGAAGAGTATAATTAAATACTAGTCACTATTGGAATAAGTAATAGTATGTAATGAATAAGTACTAGTAACTTTACAAAAGACACTAGTACCTAAAGAATAAGCACTAGTACCTAATGAATAAGTACTATTACTTAATGGAAAAGATGCTAGTATCTAAAAAAGAAGAACTAGGTCCATGAAAATAGATATTTATAGATTACATGTTAAAACGGCTTTCCACAGTATGTGTGTGTTTCGGATAGAAAGGATGGAGTGTTCAGGCCGTGTTTGTCACGAGTGGTGGCGATGTGACATTGTCAGATAATCCTAAAATTAAGTTAAATTTATTTTTAAAAAATAAATAAAAAGACAGACATACTGATGCGCAGGCATAAAAAACGAAGTCACATTTCTAGTTAAAACCAACATTGCATCAAACTTTATCTTAGGTACTTCCTTAACCCTATAAAGACTACTGTATCATATTTTATACATGAATTTCTAAGGTCGTGAAATGATCAACATGATGACAACTTTGCTGAAAAACCTGTTTTATACAATCTACTACAAGCCTGCTGTTGTCTGATTGATAGTTTATAAAAAAAGCCTTTTAGTATAATTGTACAAACATCCACCTCGTGGTTCTTTTCACTGTAAAATGTTTGGGCCTCTGAATAAAATTCTGAGCTCCATATTCTCACTATGTCATACAGTATGAGCCATAAAAGCCTGATTTATCAACAAAAAATATGCAAACTTATTTTTTAGATTTGTAAAAATATTTTGTCTAAAGTTTCAATAAGCTGTTCCATTTGAAATTTGATTTTCCAGCTTATATTTCATATATCAAGCTATACATCAGTGCACATTATTCTAAAGAAGAAACATTTTGACATCTTTCCATTGTCTGAAATCTGTCATCAACATGTAACAACTTGCTCCGGCCTCTGAAATGACATCAACTACAGCTGGCAACTAAATAAATAGGAATGCAGAAAAAAAAAATCAGTGCACATCACAAGACATCTTATTTTTCATATTTTTCCAACATGGTTTTCTTATTGAATGTCTTTTAAAATGCATGAACATTTTAAGAATCTTCATGCAGCTTTTTTCCATACAATCTCATTCACATTTCCACATATTTTAACTGGAGCTACATTCGTTTTTGATGCACAGCTGCTCATGACAACTTCCAAACTTGGAGGCAAATGAGATTTTAAAGATTTGCTCAAATAAAATTTGGGTCTGTTCCTCACATAAGCTGGCATGTGTTCAGAAGAACTGAAATATATAGTACATAAGTCTTATGGACCAGTTACATAATATTTAATGGTGCTTTTGTTGTTCATTTTGGAGCTTGACAGACAATGTCCTTGTATAAAAGACAGCTGCATGAATATTCAAAAGCTCTCCTGATTTAACTGCATGCAGGTTTAGAACAATGACATAACATGAACTATTCCTTTTAAGTCTTTGAGTGTGCAGTACTGTATCGGTGTTTGCCACCCACTGGCAGTCTTATCACCATCCTTTAAGATGGCTGAAGCTTAGCTGACATCCAAGAGCTAAAGGAAAGATCTAACGGCAAAGAGAGACCTGTCCCAGATCTGCCCGTTCCTACAGGCCTCCGCTAACTGATCAGCGCCGCCTCTAAAACAATCCCAGTGAATATCGATGCAGTGCATGCTATCTTTGGGCTATAAAGGTCACTGGTGGACTGAAGACGTTTTACAGGCATGTATCACCACATACCATGACACACACTTTACATTCAATGACCTACTTTTCAAAAGAGGATTTTCATTCATTTCTCTGCATTTAGCATGGCTATCAAACCAGCTCTGGCTCACAGTGGGGGTGGGGGTGGAGGCCATTGTACTGGCAGCTAAACTGAAGCTGCTTTTTACATTAATGAAATGCACTCTTAAAGGTGAATGTTGTTGATGCATGCACGGCTGGTGATATATCTTGTAAGACACATTCCTGCTACTAAATCTGAAACAGGTTCTGTTGGAAGAGTGAATAATGTTTGGTTTGATTTGATTCAATTTTATTTGAGGTTATGATACATCCCAAAGGATGCATGCATGCTTTCCATAAGCTAGTTTATTTTTTTAAATGACATTTTGAAGGTGAATGTTTTCAGTGCATGCAAAACGATAATTCACAAAGATTTCCAAAGAACTGCAATAATGCATTGCTTCAAATTCATTGGAGATAAGATACATATCTTGTAAGGATAGCTAAAAAATATGTTTACTTTATTTGAGGCTTTGCATTATGGTATATCCCTAGGATCTTAAAATAATGCATGCATGCTTAAAAGCTTGTTTGTAAATCAAATGAAGCATAGGCCTATTTATGATGGCGAATGTTTCAATGCATGCAAAACCACATTCACAAAGATTTCCAAAGAACTGCAGTGATGCATTGCTTCATATTCACTATAGAGGCAAGATATTGTGCAAAAATGTATAGGATTAAAAAAAAAACGTATTTAAGGCTATGCTTTAGGGCATATTCCTAGGATCTTAAAATAATGCATGCATGTTTAAAAGCTGTCTGTGAAGTTGTTTTGAAATAAACTGAAACATACTTATAATGAATGTTTCCAGTGCATGCAAAATCACAATTCACAAAGATTTCCAAGGAACTGCAAAGATGCATTGCTTCATATTCACTGGAGATAATGCCTAAGAATTATGTTTATTTTCTCTAAGGCTATGCATTACGCTATAACCCTAGGATCTAAATTAATGCATGCATGTTTAAAAGCTTCCCATACAATTGTGAAATGAAAAATAAAATGCACTGAAATCATTCACCATCCTAAATCACCAGTCACAAAGATGCTCCAATCATTTGGAACATAACATTGCAGCAGTATAAGACTGAATAAATTAATTCAATAAATTATAATATGCAATTAAAGTAGGCAGGTTATGGTTATGCCCAGGAATAATGCATCATATTCTGTTTAAATGAGGTTTTATAATGCATGCATTCTTGATAGCTTTCCACAAGATAACAAATGAATCCAGTGTGACCTATAGAGCTCCAAAGGGTGACCCACAAAGAAACACATTAAAGTGGGCCTGAGCACATCATACACAGAAACCAGGGGTGACAGTAATCCTACATCTGATGGAATGGTATTGACATAACTGGACCACATATAACTTGGTCGCTTCAGCGTTGAAATGCCATTATATCGCTGTCATTTCATGCCCTCATATTTTTGTCGCTTTAATCGCGCGCGTTTTCAGCCCATCTTTTTGTTGATTTGTACTCACTGTGATGCGAGGGATGTTCTTCTTGCCCTGGTATCCGGACATCGCTGCGCTGATGGCTGGATATCCGCACGCGTAATGATTCCCGATGCGCGTTTGGAGAAGTGACGCCCCGCAGCTCAATGACACTCGCCGCCGTCGGCACAAAACTAACCGGACGCGATGGAGGAAGGTTTCCAGACAATCCTGCAGAGATTCTGAAGGTGGACGATGAAATGTTTCAGGTGACGGGCTCTTATCTCTTGTTCCGGCGCAGCGGCAGGACGCTCCAGACAGACACTGACGGAGATTTACACGGCCAAAGCCACTGTGCATGCGCAACACCCCACCCTGATCCGCACACACACACACAGGTTTGTTTTTATGGTTTATGGGGACTCTCCATAGGCGTAATGGTTTTTCTACTGTACAGACCGTATTTTCTATTGCCCTACACCAACCCTACCCCTAAACCTACCCCTTACAGGAAACTTTCTGCATTTTTAGATTTTCAAAAAAACTCATTCTGAATTATTTATAAGCCTTTTGAATTATGGGGACACTGAAAATGTCCTCATAAATCACCTTCTCGTTGTAATACCTATGTCATACCCATGTTATTATACAAATTTGTGTCCTCACAAACCACATAAACATACACACACACACACACACACACACACACACACATCTTCATACATGCAGGACCAGACTGATTAGATAAAATGTTAGGGAAACAATTACATTTCTATTGATTTATATTTTACATCTATTTTTATAGAATTACACAATTATTTTGATTAATATTTTGGCGAAGCACAAAAGCAATAACAAGAGTAAAATTTTCTGTATAATATGACAAATTGAAAAAAAGGTCTTTATATGACTGTTGATAGTATTCTGAGGTCTCTCTTTTGAATAATATACATTTTGTATAATAATATACAAATAATTTTGCTGTTCAAATAAACAATTCATATTAATTAAAGCTGCAGTGCGTAACTTTTTTTGGTTAAAAATGATCCAAAATCAATATTTGAGCAAGTACATAACCAGCCAGTGTTCAAAACTATCGCCTTACTTTAACCTGATTCACAATGGTTAGCTTATAATAATGTTTTTTCATTTGAGTGGTACTGGTAGGAATTCACGGGAAATTCGAGCATGCCGCTGCGTCATTACGTCACGCCTGTAAACATAAAGAAGTTGTCCTGGCCGGTATGCTATATAGCAGGTGGCGGATCGTTTATAACCTTTTCTCACAGCAGCTGGAATAATTAAATTTATCATTTTGATGGCGGATTGTAATCCAAAAAGGATTATGTGTTTATGAAACACGTGTAACTGAAATTAGATTATATTCCAGTTTTAAATGTGCATCTGATTACAGATAGCATACGTGGGATTACACAAGTTTTGTATTCCAAAGAAAACCAGTTCGAAGGAAGAATAATTTGCCTTTTGGGTTAAAAGAATTTCTTTATATGAAATTCGAATGGTATGACAATTAGAGATTAGACTGTACAGAAATTGAAATCTACACGCTAATACACACTATACACATAGTCACGCAATGCTGATGTTGTTAACATTAACAATTTGAGAAAAAAGCATAACAATAATAATAATTTGCATGGTTTGATGTGGTATGAGCTAACCGATCTTTAGATTTAATCACCATTGGTAGCACGATTTATTGTAATGCTTTTTTCCTCAGTTGGTCAGAACAAATGTGGCAGAATTGTTACTTGTTCAGATGACAATATTCGGTGAAAATGCTTATTTGGGTCATATATTCCTAGACATAGGCTAGAATCTGTGATTCCGAAGTACACTGTATCCACACCAGTGCGGTGACTGACAGCCACACCAGGGTTGCCAGGTTTTCACAACAAAACCTGCCCAATTGCTACTCAAAACTAGCCCAAAACTAGCCCAATCGCAATTCGAGGGGGGCTCCCTGTTAAAAATCGTGTTCCGGGGGGTAAAATACACGTTTTTGGCGGGGTTCCCCTGGTAAAATTCGCACTCCACGGGCTAAATATCACATAATCAGGGTTGCTTCAACCCGCAGACATGAAAGACAACCCGCGGCAAAAGTGATAATGAAGCCCAATTCCGCGGGAAATCCGCGGACTTGGCAACACTGAGCCACACATTCACCTCAAAACATTAGATTAATCCGTGCAGGAGCCGTGACGGCACACAACCCACGCAAGGAAGATAATTGCGCAAATAACTGCAATTGCAGGTTTTCAAACAGAGATGGCGACAAAGAGGCAAAACGTACTGACTGCAGCTTTAAATCAGAAATAAAATTTTTAATATAGCTGTTTTTTCCCTTTATTCATTATGGTTAGACCAGCAGATAGATTTATTTATTAATTCAGTTCAATTAAAATGCAAATCAAATCAAATCAAATTTCAACATCTCAACATTTCCACTAACTTAGGAATGACTCCTGGCCTGGTTTATCCTTAATAATAAAAAATAAAGTACAATACATGATTTATTCATTTATTTAGTAATCTATCCTTAATGATTTTATTCTCTTAAATAAATTCACAGGTGTTAAGAAATATGTTGTGTTGATTTATTGTTTTTCATTATTCATTATGGTTAGACCAACAGCTTTCTTTCTTTCTTCATTTCTTCCTTCCTTTCTTTCTTTCTTTCTTTCTTTCTTTCTTTCTTTCTTTCTTTCTTTAAGAGGCTGACGTTTCCAGAAAACCTTACTGAAACAACACAACAATACAATATATTAATTTAGAATCAATAATACAATTTATTTACATTACTGATGAAGATTATATAATTTATTGTGCCTTTATTATATGTTATGTATGACTTAAGCATCAATGTAAATAAATTGTGGAATCTCAACTCTTAATGTGTCCCTAATATGTGTCAGGCCTCATCAATGAAGATGCACTTTTAAAAATGCAAAAGGATTTTTCTTCCATTTTCATACTTAAATATTATGGGGAGAATTACAATATAATGGAAATATGTTTACAAATAATGAATTAAGCATTAGATCTCTCCTATAGTCTTGTGCACACATGTAAATTACACACAACCCCTCCACTTCAGCATATGCAACCTCAGAACACCTACCAGCAGCCAATCATGTGAATGGAAGCCCACAGGCTCCTCCCACTGAGTTTCTATGGTTGCCGTGGGTTACTGGGTAGGCTGGTCCTCTAAGCCTGTCTCCCATAAATGAGGACCACCGCCAACACAATGGATCCCCGCTCTTGTGTGAGATAATTTGGTATTTCATGGTCCGGTTCTCAGTGCATGGCTAATCGTTCTTTATTAATGTGACCAATTTGCTGCACAAAGGAAAAATGAGTGTACAAACTATTTGGAAGCATCTCAAATTGTTGAATAGTATAACAAAGACAATGCGATTATGAAAAGGAGCAACCAATGGGCTGCTTTAGAAGCTGAAACCAAATCCAGAATGCAGCTACGCAAACTACAGCATGCTTTACACCGCGATTCAAAGAATAAAATGTTTATAATGTTTATGTAACAATGTTCATCCGTGGCTCTTGATGGATGCATGTTTGCTTTACTGCCACTTCAGTCACTGAAGTTCAGTGTTTCATGTTTACCATGAGTTTGGCTTTTTAGCCATTAGGAGGCAGTAATGTGCTAATTATAATTGACTATTTTTAGAATAGCACACTAGCCCTGCACTATGTAGGCCTATACTATGTACACTTCTTGCATGGTTTAAGTATGCAACTCTAGTTTAAATGTCAGTTTATCCAGTAGAACGTATTATACAGTAAAAATATTTGATTCCTAGAATTATTGTAAATATTGAATTTTTTCCCCATTAACTGCATGCCAAATGACACACTATACACTATGCATGTATACACTATGTACTCAACCATGTAGTGTGTGAATTTTATAATGCTATTTTGTCATCTTTAATAATTGGAGTCTGTTAGCCCCTCCCCCTTCACGACGTAGTTGAGCGCATGGAGCTTTTTGCATAATGGTCCAAAGCATGTGAATATCGGCTAAATTGGCTGACGGTTGCTAACCATCTACCCGTGATATTCTTACACTGCATCTTTGACACCACAAAAGTGCTGCTAACCTTGTTCCAGAGCAATGTTTCGTAACCCGGGATAAAAGCGGCACTAACCCCGCTTCTAAATGACAAGTGTGAAACAGGATTAAGTGTGAAACAGGATTAAGTGTGAAACAGGATTAAAAACGGGGAACGATGATAACACGGGGATAAGTGCAGTGTGAAAAGTCCCTAACTTCCCTTAACTAATGCATACTCACCTATTACTTAAAAAAAAAAACAGTAGGCAGTAATAGTCTGTAATATGCAGTGTTCAGAATGACCAATCAGATGACAAAGGAGTGTCTTGTTAAAGAACATTCATATTAAACAGTGTGAGTAAATAAACTCAAAACGCTCTTGTAGTGGATGCAATTCAACTGCAATTTTTATGGCAATATATACACATTCAGAAACAACATAACAATCTGTTCATCATTTATCTACTTTTAATGCAAACAAAACACCAGACATGATTTACACAAGTGTCGTGAATCAGTCCGTTCAAATTCTACAATGGTCTGCTAAAAATGCTTTGGCAAAAGAAAGCTAACAGCTCAATGTCCACCTATGAACAAGATTTAAACATAATTTCAGGCCATATGAAGAAGAGATCACTGTAATCACTTACAAAAAAACACGTAGCTTTTTAAAGTAAACCAAATCAACAGATACAGGTTTACGGTGTGATCTAAATGTTACTAAATCTTTTTTTGTGAAAACAAGTATTCACAGTGGGTGACTTATGAGAACCAAAGCTGGCTGTGTTTCAACCAACCATCCAAACAAACCAAGTGAAAATTAAGGCAAGTGAAGGAAACATGGGGGAAGAGGTTTTTCTTTTGGCAGTGGCATTAAAGAATCATAAAAATAAGACAATAATGGATCATAAATCTAAAATAAAATTAAGACTGAAACCAAACAGCTTCACATTCTTTGAACAGACAGAAATCTGCTTGAAGTACCTATTGGTTCCATCATTAAATGAAATATGAACATCACAAATCTTCTTCAAACACTCAATCAGTTTGAGTGAGCTCTTAAAGGGACAGTGCATCCAGAAATTCTGAGAGAAAAAAGTCAATTTCATTTTGACATTATTTTTTTTATTTTCACTTTTTATGCATTGCATTTAAGGTGTACTGACAAGCTCAGAAAAGGACAAACGTAGTGCATACTTCTTCCACTATATTCCAAATCTTCTGAAGTCATACAGTCCTTTATGTGAGGAACAGACTTAAGCCATAATCCAATTTTTTTTATATATATATTTATTATAATAGTAACCAGCTTCATGAAGAGTTTAGTGCTTCACAGAAGAAAGAAAGTCAAACAGTTCTGAACATCACAAGGGTGAGCGTTTTCGGTCTCATTTTTGGGTGCACTTTCCCTTTAAACAAAACAACATTTTGCTTTTATCTGTTACTGAAGCATTTGTTAGCATTCCATATTTGAAGTTTGCACATAACAGAATAAAAGCGTATCCTGTACCATGCGGTTTTCTGTACCTGTAGCATGCATCAGGACAGGAGAGACCACCATCAGAGTGCAGGTCGCATGCTTGCCTGTCTGGAGACTTTTTTACCAAATAAAAAACACAAAACCCCACATTCACAGTGCTCAACAATCACATGCATTCATAGTTCAGACACCCACTGCCTGTACGCGAGTTATTCCATCAAACACACACTTGTGCACCTTTACATCGAGAACTTGCATGATGGTGGCACTATCTTACCTTCACATATGGATTAATATGAACTTAATAATAATGGAAATGCTAGAGTGGTTTTGCCATAGATTCATTAAGAATTACATACATAGGGAATGAGAGGGACAAACAACAACAGCACAGCTGTTAATATAATGTTGAATGCATTTTTTTTGGTCACAGCACCCCTAGTGTTGGATACAGGAAAAGCATTCAAAGGCCAAGAGTAGATTTTCAAATTGTAAACTTTATAGCATTTGACTCGCATTTAAATATTAGGGCATTGTGGAAATTATAATCACCTTATTTTGCAACGTGGAAGTTAAGCATTCTTTTTTTTTTTTTAATTCTTCATCTATTATAGGTAAATAAATGTAAACTGTAAAACCATTTATGCTGAAAAACTGTTTATAATTATGAAATATTGAAATATCATGATAACTGTCAATATAACTAAGCATAACGGACTGGGTTCGCACAGAAAAACAACACATAACAGCCTCCAACATACAAATTACAAACGGCCAAATCCGAAATCAGATTAGCCACATTAGAAATAAGGTGGATATGGTCAGTACAAAAGTTTTGTGTCAATATACAAAACAATTTTCCGATCTCATTTGCCATTTGCCAACTTATATTTTTGGAGAACTGTGCTGAGCACCTAACATTCATTTGATGATTGAATTTGATCTGAATATGATGCGAGCCAATTTTGGCATAGATTGGACACATTTAGAAGGGGGAACAGTAAACAAAAATGAAACCATGTTTTATTAACAAGGTTTGGGAGGAGCACGATCAGATAATCAATCAGTCTGGCCCAGGTGGAGCCCGTCAGCTAATCACCTTAACAAGCACAATACGTATATTTATACAGCCAACTTGCCTCAGTTCCACAACACTTTTCCAGCATCCCACCTCCACCCCAACACCTCACTACTAATCTAATTTCATCCCATTCTTGGGATGGGGGGAGTTCTCTGGGTTCGGGCCTTAACCCGAGCTCGGAGCCCTCCCTCTGGACAGCACGCCAAATATGCTACTATTTGCTCAATCACATAATATGTTAGTGTGAACTCGTGAATTGAGGAATTGTTCATCGTAGTCACCAAACTGATCAAGGTATTATGGCAATCATACAGAGCAAGTTTCATGCCAATACGTCAAAGTGTTGCAAAGATACAGCCTGTATTTTCCGTATGGAGCCAAATTTGTTGGTCTCTTACATGCAAATGGGTTGGCATTACGAAGACTTTGAGCAACATCGTCTCCAAAACAAAGCTGCCGAGACATGCAAAATTGAGTTTGGTGGAAATTAAACCACCAAGAGCACTGAACCGAGAAGGGGAAAATATTGTTTGTAACATTTTGTCTCTTGTTGGTCATTTATATTATTATTAGGTACTTTTAATACATTGCATTTAAGGAATCCATTTTATAAGTTCGTGCATTCCCTGGGAATCGAACCCATGACCTTGACTTTATTAGCACCATGCACTACAGTTTGAACTACAGAATTCCTGGGACAACATTCAGAAAAAGTCCAAATTTTAGGAAAAAGGGGAGCATTTCAAAGAGGCCATAATCATAATTTCCCTATAATTTGATTAGGATTTGGATTTACATGAAGCTTGTATAATTTTGAGACTGTTGTTGTTGGTTAACTAAAGCACTCTCTATTTCATGTCATATACAGCAGGGTTTATCAAACTGGGGTTTGTGCTAAAGCTGCATGGGCTTTGTGAATTGATGAAATACAAATCATTATTAAATCACAAAAATGTCAAATTAATGTTAAAATAAAATACTTACTAAAAAAGATGAGATATTTTGTTTACCTGCATTTCATGTGAACATTTACCAACATAAAGAATTATAAACATGCAAATGTGTTGAAATGATTGAAAAATTAGCTTAAAATAAAACATTTACATAAAAAAAAAAATTGTGAATCCTTGCCATACAGCACCAAGCTAACTGTACTGTAGTTTTAATCTACATTTGTTCGGTTCTACATGCATATTAATGTAAGAATATTTATGTGATGAATATAACAAGGAGGAAAAACAAAAAGGACCGGTTTCATATAACTTCCCAAGATGTCACATGGCAAAAGCTAAACACAATGGAATGACAACAAAAGAAAAGATGAATGTCAGGTTATATTTTAATATCACCTATACCAGCGAAACACACGAAACTACATGTTCATTGCTTCATCACTCCAGTCGCTATGGGAATGCAAACGAAACACATGGTGGAGCTGTCAATCACGAGGGCCCCGCCATCCAGTATCCACACTCATGATTAATAAAGCAAAAACTCAAAAAAACAAAAGAGAGATATAACAAATGTGCGTAAAACATCTCGTATGGTGATCCTACCCGAAACGGAGCGGGCAGGGCTAGTTTATCATATCTGACATGAGCTACAGCTATTCCATTCACAGTTCTCATTTCACCCAACGCAGGGGAAAACTTCACTTCTGTCACGTCCTGATGTGAAATCTCTGAACACACGCATGCAATGGGGCTCAGAAAAGGTGCAAACAAAAGTCGAGGCACGGTTGAAGTGACACTAAATTGGCCTCTTGTATTTCCACTCCCCCTCTGAGAAAGAAAAAACAGCATGAAAACAGAGTAAAGAAGTCAAGTGTGGCACAATGACACAGAAGGCCTTAATGCAAAGGGTGACCTGTTAACTGATTTAGGTAGCAAAACTCTTGCTGTACTGTTTTTTTTGAATGAAACACTTTGCTTAGTAAAAGTGTTACTAGATACTGTGAGGGTGAATTAAAAAAAACTTGTCAAGAAAATGTCCTGGTTATCTTTTACCCATAAATCAAAAGAAAAAAAAATGTTTTTAATGCTTAAATGCTTTTAAAACCAGGCTTAAATCTTTCTAAATGAAAATAAAATCAATCAAATGGGATGAAATATGACCCGGACATGTTCGTGACGAATGTAAATCAGCGAGTGTAAACCTGTTAAAGTCTTCTAAATTAGTAGTTTTATCTGTAAAACTACACCATATTGCATATAAATATGTACACTGAGCGTGGATCTGTTGCTTTGACAAAAGTACGTACAACTGCGTATAATACACAACTATAGCAACACTATGCCTAATATCCACAGGGTGTTCACAGTAAAACCAAAGGCCTTTGTAAGGTGTTGTCAAAACGGAGTGACTGACAGGATCAATAACCCCGACCGAGTCTACGAGAGGTGCAAACGACTCATGTTGGGTTGACGGTGGAAACCCTTTGGCACTAAGATACACAGTTAGAAACTGCTGCGAGCAGGATATGCATCAAGGCAAACCAGAGTGTGTGTGTTCTTGTGTGTAGCTTCCTTAGTAACTCAAAAAACATCTAACCCGACCAGTTTGGCTCTTAAACAGATATACGTCCATGCTGATCTCTTTAGCTTAAGGTCTTTCGATTAGAAAAACCATGTATTGTTCATGTAAATTTGTGATTTACTTATATATTTTTATACTATAATGCTGCTATAAAGTGATGCTTCGGTTCTAGCCTGTCATTTTGGATCTTTACAGAAGTGAAGAGCAGACAGAAAAGGGCCTAAAACAGAACTTAGTGGAACCTCTAAGATTTACATTCTATGCAAAATAAGTCTCAAAATAATTGTCGTAACAGTCCAAAGCAATGCAGCGAGTGCACTGACATAGAATGAATGACTTGGTCTGTCATTAAACAGTCATCGTTCTCCAATGAAAGTAAATGACTGACATGCATTTTTGATGCTGTGACACAAGAAGGGAAGTCAATAAATTAAATTGCGCAACATAATGAGCAAAATCATCTCGCTAGAACAAAATATCACAACCCTCCTAAATTTCCTATTGAGAGTCAATATACTCCCAAGATATCTCGGGCCACATCCAGACTCTATATTAGTTACATATGAAGTGCGTCATGCAGAAATAAAAGTCCATTATGGCTGTGGCTGTAGTGGGGCTCTAACTTGTATAGTAGCGTGTCATGAAAAATAAACGTCAGTGAATAATTCACTACATGTCCAAATAAAAACATCTAAAACATGTCAGTAAGCCACAGGGTTAGAGGGCAAGAAAATGCGACACAGCCAAAGGTCAACAAGCAGAATGTCTCCCAGCAGAGGATGTGATGGGAAATCAGGACCGTGGATTAAAGAAACGATAAAGAGAAAGTCAGAGAGGGGGAGAGAATGAGAGAAAGAGAGAGAGAGAGGAGTCATCACACGATTGGCCACTGCTGTGCCACTGCTGCTCATGATGGAGCATCCAGGCACTGGGGTCTGTTCAGGTTTAAAATGAGCTGGTGGAGGGTGTAGTTAATCTCTTTCCAATGTAGACCCTAAAAAAAGGACATAGATTTAGTATATTCCTGTATCTTTATTTATATATATTTGCAATGCTGGATGAATTAACTATATCATTTGGTGAAATAAATTTTTTTTTCTGAATATATTTCTGTCCAAAATAACTGGATTTGCTGTAGCTTTTCTGAAAAATTAAGTCCTTTCCACACTGAGCTCGATGCGAAAAAGTGAGGCGAATCGCCGACGAGCGATGCTTTCACACCGAACGCGAAACAATTTTTCGCCTTCTGCTAATTCTGCACGCTAGGTGGCATTAAATGAAGATAAATAAGGTTCTACACCAGAAACACAAACTATCTATAATGCTTACAAGAATAGGCTACATCCTAAAATATAATTACAAGTACAATTAGCATCAAGCTACACTTGAAAATGTATGTAATCATTAATGTATTTGCTTACCCACTTTAAACCATCATCGAGTGCTTGTAATAACTTGAATTTATTGTAACAATAAATTGTGATCTTTAGTTGATTTTGATTAATAAGCAGACACATGCACTCTTTGTATGTTTAATAACGCTACACTGCTAATATGTCATAAACATCCTTTATTGCTATAAAAATACCATGGGCTGCATACAAAACACATACAGAAAATATATCGTCATAATCATATGTCTATTTGCTTTCATATTTCATGTGTAGAAAAAGAGTGAACGCACCCTGACTCGCACACGTCGAACAAAACGGAAGGTGCTCTACAGATCACATAATTCAGTGGACAATTAATAGAAATGTTATTCTGTATAAAGAACATGTGAGAATAAATCCACTCTCTTCTCTTATCCGGGATACTCTTCTTCTGTGCTTGTTTACACTGGTTTTCGAAACAGCGCCACCACTCTTGCCTTTTTGTGCAATAGCAGCTGCTCCGGTCACGTGATCCTAGCTCAAATCTTATTGGACAGCCCGTGTTTTCGCTTTGCAAAACTGAAAAGATTCGTCGGACTGGTTCGAAAAAAAAAACATTTGCATTTTTGGTGCGCGAATGTTCGCGGTCTATGTGGAAGCATCCATAGAAATCTTTTGTTTTATTCCAGCGCGTCATCGTGTCTGATATTCGTTTCGCTTTTTCACGCTCAGTGTGGAAAGGCCTTTATATTCCCATTTTGTAGTGTTTTTGCAGTGAAAACACACCAAAAAAAATTTCAGTAAGAATACAATTATTTACAAACAATTTTGTCCATTTTAACTGAACATGCAGTAGGCAATAAAATATTAAGACAACAAAAAAGTAATAGCCTCTTGATTAGATCTCGAGAGGTAGAGCTGGTATAGGTCTTCGTGTGTGTGTGTGTGTGTGTGTGTTGACACTCACCCCAGTCCCAGAGCCAGGATGTGGGTGAGCAGCAGCGAGGGCATGAACACTTTGAGGAACTCGGCGGAGAACACGCCACCTTTCTTCATAGCACCCGTCTTTCTCATGCTCAGAGACACCGATCCAGAACGCTTTGGGTGGCGGAAGTGGAATTCCCTGCGAACGGTCAAAGAAGAGCATACTTATATCACATTGAACTTTGTGTCAAATACTGTTTAAATGGCAGAACAGTTCTGTTGTGAGTTTGGAACTTCACTGAGGGCTTAAAATGAAATGAAATAAATAAATAAAAAATTTCAATAAATAAAATAGACTTTTTGAAATGAATAAAAATAAAACATTTTGAATACAAATTATTTTAAAACATTAAATAACAAAATTAAATATAAAAATTAAATAAATAAATAATGGTAAACAAATATTTTAAAACAAAGTAAATTAAATTAAATACATTTTATATAAAATACACACGTTTTAAATAAATAAAAATTGTTTTTAATAAATAAACTATTTTTATAAAAATAATAAAATAAAAGAAATTGCAATTATATTTCAGTTTCACAGAGAACAGAATATTTTATGAATTAGGTACATTGGATTTGTTTTGGAATTAATACATTTTTCATGTGGAAAATTATGAACATACACACAAACTGGTTTTATTTGGATGTAGGTTCTTACTTCGGGGGAATGTTCTCCGGTCGACTGGACCAGTCTGCCACCCAACTCTCCCCTTTATCCATGAGGATATCATCTTCTTTGTCCTTCTCCAGACTATCATCTTCTGACTAAAAAGATGAGAAAAGACCAGCATGTTTGATAAATGCCACTCATTACAGTGTGCTTATTAAATAACAGCACTATCACTGATAGATAGTAGCTCAATGATGACTGTAGATTATTGTAGATTCATATACGGTGTGCTGCTCTTACCTGACAGTCTCTCTCGCTGGGCATCTCCACATCAAACGTGATCTGCCCCTCATCCTGGTCAGGACTGTGTGGTCGTGGTGGGCTGTAAACACATCAGAGAAATGTAAAGTACTGATTACGTTAAACAAGAGAACAACAGATGCCTGAATCATGTAAGGAGTGAACTGAACTTTACTGAGAGCTGCAGACGTAAGAATAGAACTGCTAAATCAAAGCAGTGCTGCCCACAGATGCCTCCTCCCTAAGATGAGCCTCTGTGGATGAATTGAATTTGAATCTATGAATTTACTATAATTTTCAGTCTTCAGTCTTATTATTATTATTTGTTGGTACTAGTGCTGTATTTGTCTTGAAAATGAGAGAAATAAATATGAAACTTTTTGGTGCATGAAACATTGGTTAATGTTATACAAGTAAGTGGACCTTAGTTACAATTAGTTACAAGTGAATATGGTCCCTAACAGTCCTCCAAGTGATTTTTTAATACTACACAAAATGCCATTATTACCCGACTAATGTCACTAAAATATCTTGAGGTGTTGTTATTGTTAATTAAAAATAAAACTATTACAAACTGTTTTTGGCCATTTGAAATAAAGCTAAAATAAAAGAAATTATAAACATTAGATGAAAAACTTTAAATTAAATTTAAACGAAAATTATGAATGTTGCATTGGCAGCTAACTGAAATAAATAAGTGCTGAAGTAAAAATAAAGCTAAATAGAAATTAGAAACAAAATATAATTATTAAAAAAATGATATAACTAGGAAAAAAAATAAAAGTTAAATAAAAACAACACAAGAACATAATAAAATTACATAAAATGAAAACATAAAATGAAAGGCAATTCAAAATATAAAAAAACTGAAAATATAAAAGTAAAAGCCAATTCAAAATATGAATACATATTTTAATAGTATATAGATAATACTAAAATAACTGCAATTTGGGGCAGTGAATCATTGTATCATTGAGATACAGTTTTTAATAACAGTTTAAATTCATTTTTATTTTAACATTTTCCATTTTTGATTTTAATTTATGTGAAAGTTTTAGCAATTTTGTTTTGTGTTTTTGCCATTTTATTATTTTTTTTCTTTATATGTCTATATAGCTCACTCATTTTATTTAAGTTTTAGTTATTTTAGTACATCAAGTTAAACTAAATAAAAATGTTGAAAAAAAAATGTTGCCTTGGAAAGTAGCTTAAATAATTTATATATATATATATATAATTTTTTTCCAAGTAACAAAAATGATTTTAGTTATCTATAATAACCCTTGTCCTGTGAGCAGTACATTCATTTTTAGCCAATCAGAAACACTCTTTCTGTCAATCATTCTGAGAGTTCTGGTTTGAAGGGCGGAGTTTCTGAGAATAAAGGGTTGTGAGCGGCCTGTTTCTCTGCTCGTACCTATTGCAGGACGAGCTGCTGGGGCTGGACTCGTGCTGGGCGTCCAGTAGGATTTTCTCCATGTCTCCGTTATGGATAGAGGAGGAGGAAGGCACATGCTCCAGTCCTCCTGTCAGGACCTCCTCTTCCTCCTGCACGGCCTCCAGGGCCTGTGAAGCCTGGGACTCGCCTTGGTTCCCGTTCCCTAGCAGCGAGGGCAAGCTGGGGTTCTGCTGCTGAGTGTTTCCGTTCATCTCCAGCTCCACCCAGGACCCTGAAAAAACCCAAACAGTCATTAGCATTAGCATGCATCAATCGTTTAAAGGGGCCGACTTTATTAGTTTATTTATTTTTAATCAACTGTAAATGAGAGTTTCTTAGCATACATGTCCACCGGTGTGGAGCTGATCAAACGTTTTAAATTCTTTCTTTAGGCAGACTCATTCAGGGGATTGTGGGATTGACATCAGCACAGAATAAGCGAAGAGAGAGACAAAAATGCACATTTTGCTCAAAAGGGAACATGAGACTGACTTGTGAGAACAAACATCCACTGTTGACCCGGTGCAAACATGAGACACACGTGTCCCGTCTTCCCCGCACTGTTGCTAGGCAAAACAGAAAGATCCACAGACAGGTCCCATGATGCTTCAATAACACAATGGAGTGGCAGGATGTTGCTAGGGTATTGCTATGCGGTTGCTAGGGTGTTCTGGTTGGTTGAGTCCACACTGAAGGCTCTGCAGTTGCTCCAAACAAAATAAGTCATTTAAAATGTGTACTCATCATTGCAATATCAAGGGAATTAATCAACAGCATTTGTCATAATCATGCAGCCCTAATGAGCCAGCGTCCAGTTTAAATCAGCACATCTAATTATGGCAAAATCCTTCACCAGCCTCTTGTATTTGCCCACAGTTACTGGCATGTTGCCATGGCAGAATGCATTCCAGCAGCTCTTCATCTGTGAGCATTTGTTGTCTCACTGCATCACAACAACACAAAAAGGAGAAGACTTGAGACTTATATTGAAGGAGGGAACCCAGACAAATCTGGCAACTAGATTAACCACCCAGTAAACACTCAGAACACCCTAGCAACACCTTGAATAAAAAATATAAAAGATAGTTGACAGTTCGCAGCGAGCTTGACTGACAGGCGATCTGACCAATCCAGTTTCCTCTTTGCTCTGCGATGTATTTTTCACTGTGTGATTTGTAGTGTGAGAGCGGCGTTGTTTGTCGGGGATAGCAACAGTAACTAAGGTCTTTGCAAACGGTCAATTGTGACTTTTTATCTCAGTTCTTTTTTTCTTAGAATTGTGTGGTATAAACTCAAAATTGCGACTTATAAAGTAAGAATCGCATGATATAAACTCATAATTGTATGTTAAAAAGTCAGAATTGCATGATACACTCGCAAATGCAACTTATAAAGTCAAAATTGTAAGATATTAAACTTCAAAAGAAGTGTGACTTTTTTCCCTCATAATTGGACTAACAAAATCGCAACTGCAAGTTTATATCTCACAATTCTGAGAAAAGAGGTCAGAATCGACCCTTTGCTGGGAGTTTGATTGACAGGCGATCTGACCAATCATAACAGTCAATCTGCCATTTTGTCCGACAAACAAACCAGAGCCGTGAAACAAGCCAGACAGGAGAATAGACTAACGTCGGTGGACTTAAACTTGAAAAATGGTGTGTATTGATGTCTTTCCGCAGTTGAAAGAAGATACCTTCTGATGTTCATTCATGTTTAATTTGTGCTAGACCTAGTATAGAGGAATAGATGATCGGTTCACATGCTGCTGAGGCACTACAGCAATCTGTCATGATACATTAAAGAGCCACAAAACGGTATTTATTGTTTGAATTCGAAAAAATGACAACATCTGAAAGCTGAGACTTTAGCTGCGTCCCAAATGCCACACTATACACTATGTACTCAACTGTGTAGTGTATGAATTTTATAAGGTTATTTTGTCATTAATAATCAGAGTTTGATAGCCCCTCCCCATTGGCGACGTAATAAAAGCTGCGACAGTTGAGTGTATGAAGTGTCCAATGGCTGCATCCGAAAACTCTAAAATGCTGCCTTCGGAGGCAGCATTCCAAGGCAGGAAGGCACGTTCTGCTTTACTTCCTGTCTCCGGAGGTACCTTCTTATGATCGAATTTTGAAGGCAGCATAGATGTATCCTTTGATGCCTTTGATATCCCACAATCCTGTGCGTTCCATTCCGTGACAGTTGAGCTAAAAAATAAAGATGGCGTCTGAAAGTTGCGTTTGGTGGTCAGTTTGTGAGTAAATGTATATTTTTTATGTAACAATTTTGATGTTATTTTTAGCGAGAAATCAGTATTATAGTAATTAAATATCCATTTAGTTATCAAAAAAACTAGTTCTATTTTGTTGTAGATCATTCAACCGTTACGCTGCCTCAGAAGCCTGTCTGAAATCAGTTTCATGAGGTGCCTTCGTGCAAAAACAGGCAGCAATTCAGCTGCCTAAGTTTTCGGATGCGGCCAATATTCCACACTTCATTTTTCAGTTAAGTGCATCATCCGGGTATTTAAAGTGCACTTTTTCTTTTGGGAATTTTCAGTGTGAACACACTACTTGCACTATTATACTACAAAACGGCATAGAATAATCAATAATGCATAAGTACTAGGGTTGTGCCGATAGACGATAGTATCGTGTATCGATGATAGTCAGAGATATCGACGATAGCAGATGTCTGTCGATAGTCAAGACGATATTAGGCTCATTCTCCTATTAATGTATTAAATAATAATAATTACTATTATTATTATTATTAGGCAGCCCATTATAATTTGGCTATTATTATCAAATTGCCCCGCTATTTCATTCAGCACTGTATTTCACACACACGCGCACGCAAATGAGGAGCCTGTAGCCGGTGAAGGAGTCTCCAACCACAAACACAGACACATATCGTCTGCTGATATAAGGTATTTCGTTGCACTTTAACAAGTAATCTGAACGGCCTATATATGTGCAATATTTTAACTGAGCCCTCACTAACTGAGTTTAATGCCACAGTTATGTTAGAAATAAAAGCTTTTAAATAGCTTGTAAAAGCAGCTTGCTCATTTTACTTTCACTTTCAAATAGCAATTTGGCATAAAGCAATTGTTCGTTATTAGTTCGTTTAAATTTGACCTCTTTTCCTCGCTTTCCTTCGCTTTTAAATAGCTTAAAAGCGCCGTGCGCATTTTACTTTCACTTTCGAATTAGCGGCAATTCGGCTTCAATTGCTTGAATGCAACAACAAAATACAAAGTCAAACTCACTTTAGCCTATATATAAAATATAGAACTTTTATTAACAAAATGAATAAAAATACACCATGCTATACAGGGCAGGCTATGCCTAATATAAAATAACAAATAACTTGCATAAAGTTTAAATAGGTATACAAAACTGGAAATGAGTAAACATGTATAATATATAACCAAATAAATAAGAAACGTAGAACGTTTATTAGCAAAACGAGTAAGAAAGCTTGGAGGCACGGCATACACCTTGATGTCAAATAAAATAAATAAATTACACAAAGTTTAAATAATGTAAAAATCGGCAAACACTGTGGAACCAATTAAATAAGAAATTAATGTTTAAAAAAACTTCCAAAATCACCTTAGATAAACGGCAAAAGTCAAGAGGCTTTTCAAAATCCAAAATACTGCCAAACAGGCGCTTTTGCATTTCGTTTCGAAGCTAAATCATCCGCGATCGTCTTCTCTGTCTCACCTCGCTCTTCTTGTCAGTCAGTTCGACTCGCTCTCCTCACTGGAGAAATTAAATCTGATCTGTGATGTGACTGTCATTCGGCACGCTGCATTGAGCAGCCACGTTCAGTTTTTAATTGTAGTGTCTGTTCTTTTACTGAACTAAATTTTTTTTATTACTATAAAAAATCAAAACGATGGTGGGGGTCCGTGATGGTGGGCAAGTGACGTAACCGGTGTTGCGGCTTAACAATGGTATCACCGTCAGCACCGTCTATCGCGGTAAGCCTATTATGAAATAGCCTATGACAAGTACAGGGAGTCTCTCTTGCCCCCACCCACCCATGCACGATAATATCGTCTATCGGCGATCTCACGGACTGGCGATATGACGATTTGAAAAATGACCATATCGCCCAACACTAATAAGTACGTGATTTTGGATGCACATTTTGTCTCATACCAGAAGTAACCTGCTCTGTCTGGTCTTTTTTTTTATCCCATGGTGGAAACAGAAGGCCAAAAAAGTGACACATCAATGTGGTAAAATATTCAAATGAATGCAGAGATAACACACCAGCTCTAGTTGCACAACTAAACACACTGATCCTGGAGCAGCTCTGACGGTCCTTCACTGCAGGACCGGAGCGGGACGGAGGGAGGGATTACGTAATCTCTGGCACATCAAACCCTCTCCCATCCCCCTGCTGTGTCTGTAACCCAGATCCGTCTGTGTGCCACAGACGCCCATAAACCTACTATTCACCCTCACTAAACACTAACCAGTAAACAGGATGACTCATTTTCGTGAGTTTGCACCCTTTGAAAGACAGACTGTATCATAAAACCTATTGAGTTGCCTATCTAGACAGCATTTTTGGGTATCACTGGATATTTAAATGCTTATAAATATTAAATGCAATAAAATGATTATTGGGTGAGACTTGATTTTACCCAGGAATTGATTGAATGGTGAAAAGTCTCTCTATATGACAAGAGATTTGAAAAGATGGGCTGAAAAACATGACTGTCATAAATAAGGTAATAAAAACAAACTATTTTGGCAATTTTTGCACAACAAGATCATGAACGTGCTGTATTAGGAAAGTATAAAACACTGATCTATATATCTCTGTTATAGATAAGTGATATAAAATCATTTTTATATCATGCTGCTGACTTTGTTTGGACATGTTTCTTGGAGCTTCTTGAAAGACTTGAGACAGCTTTAGAGATACTGTTACCTGTCATAAATCACATGATAATAGACCTTAAATTACTTTATTACATCACTTTACAACTAGTGCAACCAGATCCGCAGGGAAATGTTGTTAATCTGCTATACACACCCCATTGCATATCAAATATTTTTAGATAATTTGTATGCTTTCATCTAACCAAGAGCATCCTACTCTCAGCTTTTACCATGTTTAAACTCAGAATGCCACCGATATACCCAAAAAATCAGCACATATTCTGTCTGAGCAAGCTTATACATTTTCAAGATATTTGCAGAAATATGCATGAACGCATATGAAGATCCAACTACATTATATTCAAATCTACAATGCTTGTGCAAGAATTAAAAATAATAGTACAGTTAATTTTTGGTTCTAGATGAATGCAACGACATGCATTACAAACCTTATAGTGTTATTCTAAAAAAAGGAAATGAAGAAAATATGGTTTGCACTTCATTTTTTTTGTACTTTAGGTACATAAGGAATGCGAAAAATGAAGAAAATGTGCTCAACTGACCGTTTAATGATTTTTTTTTAATGTTCTAATATTAAATGATCAATATTATGCGCTCAGTGCTTCCAGAGAACGGTTACATAATGCACATAAACAGTTTCAAGTCTTGCCGTAATGATATCTAAATGCAAGCACTAATAGCTCATCGTTTCCGAATCACAATCAAAGTGATTCAGTGGATATCTGCTGAATAAATGAAGGTTGTGGCACACAAGTGCACAAATAGCGTGCATACGGATTCACAAAAGCTGTACAAACAAAAACAGTTTTTTAAAGTAAAGCTTAAAGTTAATAAACAATATTTCTATGAAAGCATGTTTGAATACACAGACACATTCATAATAAATGGCTGCTTTCAGGACAGGACTTTGACAAAATTCATTTAAGCAGTGGCATTATTTCAAATAAACCTCTGTGCCCATTTAACTGTGGTATAATTGTGACAAATAAAAAGTAATTAGTAAGATTTCATTATTTTTATTAAACATAATTTAATCAATATATTAACACACAAGGAAGGGGGCAGGGAAATAGTGCTTAACAGGAACGACCCTGCTACTAAACTACTAAAAAAAATAGGGCACACAATAAACAGTAAAATATTTAACAATACCCAGCCAAATTAAATTCAGCTTCTTTATTTATTTACCCGCCCCCCCCCCCCGCGTCCATTTTTCTCAGATCCCCTCATCGTCTTGTTTTGATATCCGCGTAGCCCCGCCTCCACGGCGCTCGAACTTAATCTAGAACTAACGATTGGCTAACGTTCCATCAATCATTCTGGGTTGCCATGCAACGCCACAGCGACTCCCGCTCTCATGTAAAGACGCCACCCTACGCTCCGCCCTTTCGCCCCTCCCCTACAAGCGAGGAGGAAATTCCAGCCATTGCGTGAAGCGAGACAATAGATGTTGCATAACAGCGTTTTAAAGCTCCACAGTAAAATGCAACCCACACAAACAAGAGTTTTAAAGCGACATTAGGATCCCTCCCGAGTTGTTCCTGCAGAAACACGGACGGAGGTTTACCGTTGAGTCCCGGTTCTTCATTGTTGTTCAGCTGCGCGGCGGCTGCGGTCAGAATGTCGCCTCTCCGGTCCGCTCGAGCTCGAGCTCCCGCCCCCTCGCATCTACGTCACAACATTCACTTCCACGATCCCTTTGATTTTGTTAGGTAAATTCCATATACATAAGAAGAAGTGGGCTCAATATAAACCAAATTTTGCACATTTTATAAATGACTTTAAATTATATGTGAATCTCTTAGAACAAACAAAAAACAAAAAAGCATTGAAAACATGCAATGCTCTGAAAGCATTGAACTTTATGTAATTTTCTTCCTTTTTTCTCTTCTCTGGCAGCTAATAATGCTAATTTGATAATGTGAATATGATGTTCTCGTGGCATTGAATAAATAAAGCATAAAAAAAAAGAGGCGCAGGTGTCAAACCGAAAAAAAAGATCCCTACTGAATAAAGGAAAGTTGCAGAAGCCTACAGAGGTGTGCAAAACAGAAGCATCATTTTAAAGTGTAAAACTGATAGAAACAGAGACACAGACAGATGAGTAAGCTCGAAAATAAGCTCTCTATGCACAATATATACATACAGACAGACAGACAGAGAGATAGATAGACAATCACATTCTGTCTGAGCAAGCTTATATGTTTTCAAGATATTTGCAGAAGTATGCATGAATGCATATGAAGATCCAACTACATTATATTCAAATCTACAATGCTTGTGCAATAATGAAAATTAAAGGGGTCATATGATGCTTTTTTTAAAGATCATTATTTTGTGTATTTGGTGTAACAGAATATGTTGACATGCTTTAATGTTCAAAAAACACATTATTTTTCAAATACTGTACATTATTGTAGGTCCTCTATGCCCCGCCTCTCTCAAACGCTTCGTTGCATCATATGACCCCTTTAATAGTAGAGTTAATTTTCGGTTCTAGATGATGCAACGACATGCACTAGTCTTAGTGTTATTCTAAAAAAAGGAAAAATAAGCAAAAAATGAAGGAAATATGGTTTGCACTTAACTTTTTTTGCAGTTTAGGTACATAAGGAATGTGAAAAACTAAGAAAATGTGCTGAGGTTTGCGGTCATCTGACCAGTTAAAGATTTTTTTTAATGTTCTAATATTAAATGATCAGTATCCATCTGATAATATTGATCCATCCATATTCTAATATTTATTAAATTATCCTCAATCTAGTAGACAAGAAGATAGAACAGAAAAAGAGCAGAGTGTTAGTGTTAGAAGGTCATTTTTTGAAGAAATAAAAAGAAAAGTAGATAAAATATAAATAAAATAGTGTGCAAGTGTTAGACGGGTCAAGGGTTTTTTTTATAAATAAAAATAAAAGTAGGTAGAGTAGAAAACGAACAGAGAACACCAGTGCTAGTGTCAAAACATTTGTATTAAAAAGAAAACTAGAACAGACATAGAAGAATGTTAGTGTTATGAGGGTCACATTTTTTGTTTTATATATAAAAAATAAAAGAAAACAATTAGATATAATAGAAATAGAATAGTGTGTGTTAGTAGGTCTCTTTTTTAATAAACAAAAATAAAAACAAGTAGTTAAAACAGAAATAGAATAGAAAGTGCTGGTGTTAAGAGGGTCAAGAGTAGATGGAAGAGATGTGATAAATATCAGTCTATCTACAAACATTATAGAAGCATTAGGGATCATATGAAGCTATGGATGTTGCTCCTAAATTTTTCGATAGACAGCATCCAGCGTTTACATGCACTGCCATCATGACAACCTAAAAACCCGTTACTTCGGTTCACAGATCACCAACTCCTAAAATAGCTGAGGCACAGATTCATTTCTGGGTGTCCCATTCGTTCCTGCTAACCTACATGTGGAGCAGATGTTTAAAGATGAGTGATTCTGCTGCGCTGGTATATAATACAAGCAGATTTAATTCGATTCTACTTTACTGACCTCCAAACAGAAAAATGACCCCAAGAGGTTTAGTTTTCGGTCTTAAAATGAATTTTTTATTTTACATTTGGGGTTTTACAACTATTAAGATAAAGGGAACATACTTCAGGATTTGTTCATATACAGCAAGCCTGATTTCCATGTAAACACACTCTATTATACAGAATCATCCTGCAACAATCAACAGCATTAATACACTGAATACTGTCAAGGACATAATTTCAATTTTTTCGAAAAATTCATATAAAAATATCTAGAGCATTCTTTACCCCATAGGAACCATTCTGTATTAAAAAGCTGCAAATAAAATGACACACATCAGCAAAGATGCCGAAAATCATAAAACATGCACATCTGCACAAACATTTACTTAAGACTCAAAACGTTTGTGTGTCTCTATAAAACAATTAAAAGAGACCGATTCAAAAGTCTCCCTTTCCACAAAGACTAAGATATTGCATAAAATTAATGCCACGATTAGGGACTTAATGTAGGGAATAATGGAGCTATCTGGGAACCCTGCTTAAGTCAATTGCACTTGTGGACGAATGTCAGGCGTTCGACGAGTGTTTGGTGAAGGAAACGTCCCGTTGCACCAGGCCTGAGTTGGGAAGGGAGCAATCAGTGCATGAGGAGCCCAATTGATTAATTATGATTCTGCAAACTTATTAAACAGGATTCTGTGGGTTGCTTAGTCAGTTTGGTTGCGTGTTTATAACCCAGCAATGAGTGATGCTTCCGATTAAAGCTAAAACGGATGATGTGCAAAAAAAACAAAAAGCCTTAGAGAGCCGCTTCTGGGACGGTTCAGAAACGTGCTGGTATAATCCCAACACAAGCACTGACTAGAGCGGCCGCGATCAGCTCCGGTTCCCGTGTCTGAACCGTGACGCCCCGCAGATTTGTGCAGAGCGGAGCGCGAGTGAACGCGATCATTCCTTCCTCTGTACTACTAGTTTTAACGCGAATAAACATGACTGAACATCTCATGCCTCATGTAATTGCTCAATCAGTGTTTCAACCGCGGAAAGACATCAACAATACAGCCTGGAAATAAAACACAGCTCATTAGTTCACTAGAGAAATTAAGTCTAGAGAGGAGCATTTTGCGAAATATTACACCATATACTCATTATATTTTACTAAACCTGTTAGTCTTAATTACTTAATGTACATTATATTTAAATTAATCTGTTATGAAACATGCTACGACAGCCACTGTGTAATTGAATATATTTTAACAAATAACTTAGAAATTTTATTATTTATATGTTAATTTACAAACTGCATTATGTGCAATTTACATGTTTGCATAAAATTTTTTTTTTTTTTTTTTTTTTTTTTTTTTTTAAAACTTCAGTTGTTGTTTTCAGTATTGAAATTGATTTTGAATTGAAGTGCTTTGCCAAAGGGATTTTATCAAAAAACACTGGCTGGGTGAGGACAGGTATATAAAAAATACAGCTTTGCTATAAACACTGCAGATGTTTTGTACGTGTTCTGTGCTGTTCTTTTCTGTCAAGTTTGTCTTTTTAAGTTGTTATGCCTAATTGTAACCTTATAATGTAAAAGGTCTCCCTATAGTTTTAAGCATAAGCTGATAAGATTTTTATCACTAAGAATATTTTAACTATAACTGAATGCATTTAAAGAAAGAGCAACTTGTTCAGAAAACCATAAAAAAAATTTTTTTTTAAAAGTTTAGTTTTCCCCCCTGCTGTACCGAAATCATACCGAACCGTGACATTAAAACCGAGGTACGTACCGAACTTATACGTATATATATATATATATAAAATTCAGTCGAAAAGCCATTGCTGCATTACTGTAAAACTCTAGTTTAAAAAAAGATATCTAACCAAAATTTTCTACAGTTTTCACTAAATAAACAAAAGTATATTTAAAAATGGTTTCTTTAGGGAATTCTGACTAGATGTTGTGCTAAATAAAAAGTTTAATTTTATTCATTTCATTTCAGCAATTATTACTGCCATTTCATTTTATTAGACCACCATTCAAACGTTGGTGGTCTGTAAGATTTTGTGTTTTTGATGTTTTTAAAAGAAGTCTCTTATGCTCAAAGCGGTTTATTTGATCAAAAATTCAGTAAATACAGTAATATTGTGAAGAATTATTACTTTTTGGATGCATTTCAAAATGTAATTTATTCCTGTGATGTTTTTGCTGAATTTTCAGAATCATTACTCCAGTCTTCAGTGTCACATGATCCTTCAGAAATCATTCTAATATGCTGACTAGCTTCTTAAAAAACATTTATTATCATCATCAACATTGAAAAAAGTTGTGCCGCTTCATATTTTTACAGAAACCATAGTTTTCAGGATTCTCCGATTAATAGAAACATCAAAAGAACAGCGTTTATTTTAAATAGAAATATTGACATTATAAATGTTATGACTGTCACTTTTGATCAATTAAATGCTTTGCAGAAGTATTAATTTCTCTTTTTTTTTTAAGTTGAGTGTTGATCATCTATTTAAAAATAAATAGCAATTAAATTTAAGTTTGGGTTAAGTTGTTATGCCTAATTGTAACCTTATAATGTAAAAGGTCTCCCTATAGTTTTAAGCATAAGCTGATAAGATTTTTATCACTAAGAATATTTTAACTATAACTGAATGCATTTAAAGAAAGAGCAACTTGTTCAGTAAACCATAAAAATTTTTTTTTTTTTTAAAGTTTAGTTTTCCCCCCTGCTGTACCGAAATCATACCGAACCGTGACATTAAAACCGAGGTACGTACCGAACTTATACGTATATATATATATATATAAAATTCAGTCGAAAAGCCATTGCTGCATTACTGTAAAACTCTAGTTTAAAAAAAGATATCTAACCAAAATTTTCTACAGTTTTCACTAAATAAACAAAAGTATATTTAAAAATGGTTTCTTTAGGGAATTCTGACTAGATGTTGTGCTAAATAAAAAGTTTAATTTTATTCATTTCATTTCAGCAATTATTACTGCCATTTCATTTTATTAGACCACCATTCAAACGTTGGTGGTCTGTAAGATTTTGTGTTTTTGATGTTTTTAAAAGAAGTCTCTTATGCTCAAAGCGGTTTATTTGATCAAAAATTCAGTAAATACAGTAATATTGTGAAGAATTATTACTTTTTGGATGCATTTCAAAATGTAATTTATTCCTGTGATGTTTTTGCTGAATTTTCAGAATCATTACTCCAGTCTTCAGTGTCACATGATCCTTCAGAAATCATTCTAATATGCTGACTAGCTTCTTAAAAAACATTTATTATCATCATCAACGTTGAAAAAAGTTGTGCCGCTTCATATTTTTACAGAAACCATAGTTTTCAGGATTCTCCGATTAATAGAAACATCAAAAGAACAGCGTTTATTTTAAATAGAAATATTGACATTATAAATGTTATGACTGTCACTTTTGATCAATTAAATGCTTTGCAGAAGTATTAATTTCTCTCAAAAAACAACAAAACACTGAATGCATCATAAATATTCTCGTACTTTAGCTGAAACAGTGTTGTGTCACAGATAAAAGCTTCAGTCTGTCAGACTCTCTCTGGACGCAGGGACACGGCTGTGAGCGCACACAGCTCATGTCTGTTTGAGGTTTGCTTTTATCATGAACTGAAATGCACCCAAAGATGCTTTCGTCTTTATCAGGATGTGTGGGAGCCCGTTAGCTGAACAGAAACGTCATATCGATGGCTTCTCATGCCATTACTGAACGTGAGCCATGTCTCCTCACCTGTCATCGCCCCTCCAGCAGCACTCAAACTTATCAAAGATGCAGTCGTTCTCGTAGAGAGAGCACAGCTTACTCCTGAGATAACCATGAACCTGATGAGAAAGAGATCAAAGTCACAAAACACGCTAATGTCATGCATACTGATATAAGGACAGACGGCAGGGAAACCAGTTTATGAATATGTCAGTTTCTTAATGGTTACAGCTTCACAGTCTTTATTCAGTGCATTCTGGGTAATAAGAGCCATACAACTAATGTCATACAAGTAGACCAAGAAGTGTTACATTTAATTACTCATAATAACAAAAATTGCTTGTAGTAACCCTCAGAATTTCAGAAATTATTACTGCCATTGAATTCTATTACACTACCATTCAAACATTTTTAGGTAACGTAAGCTGTACATATTTGTGTTTGATATTGCTTATAATGATCACTAACCATCATTTCTTACTAATACAGGATAATTTCAATTTCAATACAAAATAAGCCAAAGACATAAAAATATATCTCAACAGCAAAGTTGGTCATGTATCAATTTTGGCATTCTGACTATTAACATATTGAGTTATCATTTCTGAATGCAATGTGGAAAAGTGCTGTAATTAAGTTTATAATTAAGTATAATCACAGTAATTGCAATATGTCATTAATGCAGTGCATCATATCCAACTTTTCATAATCCAATCAAATCCTGATGTTTTTTTTCTACAGAAATATTCTGACTCGTGTAAAAAACATTCTCATGCAATGAAAAATACCTATGTAAAGATGGTTAAAGGGGTCATATGATGCGATTTCAAGTTTTCCTTTCTCTTTGGAGTGTTACAAGCTGATTGTGCATAGATAAGATCCCTAAAGTTGCAAAGAATAAAGTCTCAAAACCAAAGAGATATTCTTTATCAAAGTTAAGACTCTGGAGAGAGAGAGCGAGAGAGAGAGAGAGAGAGAGAGAGAGAGAGAGAGAGAGAGAGAGAGTGAGTCTAAGTTCTAAGACAGTGGAGTCAGCTGTTTTAACCGTGGCTTGTGTACTGCAAACACATACCAGCTTCATCACTGTGTCCGTCACGCGACTCTGTTCCCCTTTCGGGCTCTGTCTTTACATTTATTTTGAAAGACGAAGCTTGCGATTATGGTAAGGGGCGTTACATTTCCGACGAGTGCTTGCGGTGTTCGGCCAATCACAATGCACTGGGTCAGCTGGCCAATCAGAGCAGACTGTGCTTGTCGGAAGGAGGGGCTTTGTAGAAAACGAAGCATTTGAGAGAGGCGGGGCATAGAGGACCTACAATAATGTACAGTATTTGAAAAATAATGTGTTTTTTGAACATTAAAGCATGTCAACATTGTTACACCAAATACACAAAATAATAATCTTTAAAAAAAGCATCATATGACCCTTTTAAGAAATAAATTCCTGACGCCATCTAGTGGTCAATGTTGCAAAATTATTATTCTGTTTATAGGATTAGTTCACACAAAAAGAAAATGATCATACCATCCTGTACTTTCAAACCACTTTGACTTTCTTCTAATGGAAAAGGAGAACATTTAAATCTTCTGGTTGCTTCTTCCATGTACTTAAAAGTAATGGAGACTAGAGCGTTCAAGGCTAAAACAGGACAAACACTGTTTCATAAAATATTGTCTGAATTCATAAAATAGCATAGATTTAAGTTGTTACTCATTGATACTCCACCTTTCCAGAAAGCTGATCAGCATGATTCAAGAATGACTGGATCAACCTATTTAATTACGAAACGTTATGCTACATCCAAAGCACTTTTTAAGCTTAGTCCAGATTAGGGCTGTCAAATTATTTTTTCGAATATTCGTCGATTTTAAAATAAAAATCCACATTCAAATTTTAGGTGTGCGTCAGGCAGCTTTATCAGTGACTCACAAAATGCGACGACGATGTAAGTGTCATCGCATTTTAATGTTTTTCTTAGTCTATCCAGCTGAACCCACTAGATGCGGCGCTGCTACATTGTTCATTCAAAATATTGTGGGATAAAAAAAAACATCAATGCAGAGATGATGTTGTTTGCGTCAAAACCGAAACCAAACCGTTCACACAGAACGCATATTTATTGCATTTTCTAGAGGGACATCTATCACCGTTGCACTCACGTCTCGCACAAAAGAGTGCCATGTTAAGAAAGCCATGGAAAATTAACATAAGTTCAACTTTTTAAAAACATGCCTCAAGACTTTATGGCGGTTTTTCCCCATCCTACTGCATCTCAAGTTTTTAAATGAAGAAAGTACTCTTTGTGATTGGTTTTCGGTCCTTTGTATTAAACTATACATACATGCATGATTCTGTTTTGTTTCTAATTGTTTAAGCAACTTTAATTATATAAGGTTTATAAACATTATGCACTTGTTTCAAAGATAGTCAGTGTTTTTATTATGCTTTGAAGAAAGGTGCATAATATTTTGTTCGATGCGCTCTCTTGTGGCCTCAGGAGAGAAGCCAAAAGCTTTTTCCTCCTAACTGAAATTATGCCTTTTAAATTCAAATATAATTCGAATATTGATAATATCTAAGTAGAAAATTCGAATTTAGTTTTTCAGCCATTTTGACAGCCCTAGTCCAGATTAACTGTAATTGCATGGATAAAACAACCAGAATATTCAGCATTTCTCCTTTTGTGTCCCAGAAGTCAGTCATACTAATTAGAACAATAATGAGGCTTAGTAAATTATGACAACTTTCATTTTTAGGTGAATTAATTCTTTAAAAAATTATTAGCTTTGGTACACCAAAGCTATAAGGATTACTATTTTAGAGCAAATCTCCCAGACAGAAACAGCACCTGGTAGGTTTCCACCGGTTGACTCTCCATGTGCAGGTCCCAGATCTTGAGGGTCAGATAATCTCTGGTCATCATGTATCGGCCGCTGTGACTGAACTTGACGTCTGAGATGGATGAGATGATTTCCGAGAAGAAGGAGCGTGTGCTGGGGTCCTCGGGTTCCTCAAACACTACAAAGACACATGATATTATGAGTTACACAACAACAAAAGCCCTCCTGAAAGGTTTTCAGCTTGATCAGCCAAAACCTGCATGATAATCCTACTCTAAAGAGCAGTGAAACATACATTTGGAGTGTTGGTCACACAGCGCAGACGCCCTCATGTCACACAGGCGCACGGAACCCTTGCTGCTGCCGTACACAAACGTGTTGCACTGGAGCGGGTGAAACTCTGAAGCCGTGATCACCTCTGTCAGCTCCTCCATGTTGGCCGGCTTGATATCAACAATGTCTGAGTCAGTGGTTAAGGTCAAACTTCAGTTAGACTATGAGGAATGTGAAAGTGTACATTATGAGGAAAAAACATGAAAAGCAATTAAGAGGAAGTGGAAATCACCCTTTTTTTGGTTCAAAAACTGCCTTGTTAAAAACTATGAAACATGCAAGCGTTATAATATAACTACAAAAGCTTGGGGTGGGTAAGATTTTTGAACGGAAAGTAATAGTTGCATGCATTAGACGGATCAAATAAAGGCATTTATAATGTTACAAATGGTTTATATTTCAAATAAAATGCTGTTCTTTTCAACTTTCTATTCATCAAAGAATCCTGAAAAATGCAGAAATCATGGTTTCCACAAATATATGGAGCAGCACAACTGTTTAATGCTATATATTTCCATAAGCTGCATTTTTTATCCTCTGAAACATTCCCCGTATGCCGATATTTTCGCTTTAAATAAATTCATTTAAGCTCGCTGTTTATAATAAATGTTGCTAGAATTTTAGTTTATACATCTATTTTCCATGCCTGTTCTGAATACCATTCAATTTAAATATTTGTTAAATATTATTAATAATGTTACCACTAAAATTTAAATATTTGTTGAGTGAAGGGAACTAAAATACATGTATGTATTGTTAAGTTTCATTTACTCTTCCAGTATTTAATTTTTTTGAATGTAATAATAAATTATAGCCGATATGTGATTTTGTACGTTTTTTTTCTCTCTCAACAATTCACCTGTTCTGAATACCACTAAAATTTAAATATTTGTTGAGTGAAGGGAACTAAAATACATGTATAACATGTTATTTACTGGCATTTTACATAATTTCTGAACGTAATAATAAAGTGTGACCTACACACTGATGCAACTTAGCTTGGTTTGTTCTCTCAATGATGCAATTTCTAAACAAGTGTGACTTATTTCACTGAAAATATGAATGATTTCTGAGGGATCATGTGACGGTGAAGACTGGCTAAAAAAATTCAGTTTTGCATCACAGGAATAAATTATAGGGATGCACGATATTGGATTTTTGCCGATATCCGATATGCCAATATTTTTCAACTCATTTTGGCCGATACTGATATATATTTTCAATATTTCAAAGTCTCGAAGCTTTGAAAATAACTATAAATAAACGATATATCAATCGCTGCATTTTTTCCCGGAAAGATGCAGTTAACCCTAACATTTTATTTTAAGATTTAACATTTGTAGATGGTCTAAAGCAAAAGAGTTGTAAAAATTCTGAATATCTTTTAGAGCTTATGATTTGTTTAAAAAATAAAACATATTACACATTAATGAATAAATCAGTATATATGAAATTATTTAATTTACAAGTCATGTTTGTGATTTTTTTTTCACGTAAGCTACAGCTTCTGACCTTTAAAGCAAAACATACTTATTATTTTATGACATCAATTACTGCTTTATTTAATCAGAAACACAGTCTAAATGTTATTTGTGTAGGCTATTTTACTTTTAATTTAATTAGAAGTTATGCAAACAGCACCCCCTACAGATTAAAACTCCTTACCGAACGAGCGTTAGGACCTGGGGGAGGCTGCCGCTGCACGTGCTATTACAGTTTACTCTTATCACACACATCATAAGTGCTTTCTCAGTTTAAATGCAGCGATCCAAAAGAGTGAATCTAATCATCATTCAGACAAAACTTTGCTTTAAGATTGAGCCACATTGTTGACATGATCTAATCACTAGCACACCCTGGGCACATGCGAGTTAACATATTCCTCTTATCGGCAAGACATATCGGCATAATTTTTCATATCGGGCCGATGCCGATATTTACATTTAAAGCCATTATCGGCCGATTCCGATACCAGTCCGATAATATCGTGCATTCCTAATAAATTACATTTCAGAATATATTCAAATAGAAAACAATTATTTTAAATTACAGAATTTTCGATCAAATAAATGCAGCCTTGGTGAGCAAAACCTTCCCAATCCCTAACTTTTGAACAGTAGCGTATGAATAAAGAAATAAATGGATAAACAGGATACTGAAGCTTCGGTCGGTGAAGTCCAGGTGCCACAGATTGATTCGGAGGTCATCGGCAGACAGATACGTCTCGTTGTCGCTGTTGACAGAGATAGAGTTGATGTGGTAGGTGTGAGCATTGGAGTAAACCCGCCGCGGACTCGCCTCCACCATCAGGTCCATCGGCTGGAACACTGGAACCTGTGCGGAGCAAAGCCTGTTACTCCTATAGACTTATTAATGCATTAAAAATCAATAATGTGTGTGTGAGTGTGTTCACACCCGTAGTGTTGTGAGGGATGATGGATGCCTGTAGCGGCCATCCTCTTCTTTGAGGTTATAACCCTCTGGTCGCTTGTCTCGTTCACTGATTTTCCAGAGCTTGATGGTTTTATCTGCAATGGAGCATTGAATAATCTACATATTTGATAACAGAGCAACCCACACATATAAATGTGTTAATGTGTCTGTATTTGCACCGGTGCTGTTATTATTAACTGAACTACTGAAAATCAATTTCGATAATATTGTATGGAAAAATTTAACATTTGAAATGTTGCCTTGTGAATGAAACTTAAATGTGACCATGGACCACAAAACCAGTCTTAAATCTCTGGGGTATATTTGTAGCAATAGTCAAAAAAAAAACATTGTATGGGTCAAAATTATTGATTTTTCTTTTATGCCAAAAATCATTAGGATACTAAGTAAAATTTCCTACCCATGAAGATATTTTGCAAATTTCCTACCGTAAATATATTAAAACTTCATTTTTGATTAGTAATATGCATGGCTAAGAACTTCATTTGGACAACTTTAAAAGGCGATTTTCTCAATATTTTGTATTTCTCAGTCAGATTCCAGATTTTCAAATAGTTGTATCTCGGCCAAATATTGTCCTATCCTAACAAACCATATATCAATGGACAGCTTATTTATTGTATAATGTATTATTTACTAATATTATTATTTATGTATAAATCTCAATTTCAAAAAATGTACCCTTATGACTGGTTTTGTGGTCTAGGGTCACAAGCATGTTTAAGCTGAAGTATTAAAATTACACAAAAAAAAAAAACAAAAAACAAAAAAGAATGCATAAAATTATTAAAATGTGAAAATTCAAATGAAAGCCAATTAAAAAAATTATTAATAGAAGTAATATTAAAATAACAGATCTGTACCGTAAATAAATCAAAACTTAATTTTTGATTAGTAATATGCATGGCTAAGAACTTCATTTGGACAACTTTAAAAGGCGATTTTCTCAATATTTTGTATTTCTCAGTCAGATTCCAGATTTTCAAATAGTTGTATCTCGGCCAAATATTGTCCTATCCTAACAAACCATATATCAATGGACAGCTTATTTATTGTATAATGTATTATTTACTAATATTATTATTTATGTATAAATCTCAATTTCAAAAAATGTACCCTTATGACTGGTTTTGTGGTCTAGGGTCACAAGCATGTTTAAGCTGAAGTATT